TCCCCCGTTAAGGGGCACAGCCGAAAGGCCAACCGGTCTCTCCCCTTAAGGGAGGAGACACAGAGACAGGGGGAGAGAAAAAAGTTGAAACAGTTTAATTGTTAATTGTTAATTATTTGGCTGGTCATATTCCTTCGGTTCTTTTCTTCCATTGATGTTTAGAGTTGACAAACATTTTTGTAAAAACATAGACAACCAATATTTTTTTAAGTAGTTTCCTGCTCTAATCCCTTCATGTCCTGTCTTCCCTTCATGTTAGTTTCCTGATTTTAGTGTGTCCTCTTAGTTGGGTCATGTATGAACTTGTCAAAGAACATTGACAAAACCATGTTGATTATAAAATGCCCTGACCAGGTGCCAGTATCTAAATTAAGAAAAATCAACTCCTGCTATAAAATGACCCTTGGACCCAAACAGCCTCAAAATCACTCCAGTTTGTGAAATGCAAAAATGGACCTCGTACCTCCTAAACCCTCAAAAAAACATCAAGATTCCAAGTGTGCACCGCATGGGTCCCCTATATAATGAGGGTCAAAATTGGCATAATATAAGCACAACAGCATCGGCATTTTATAGGCCTTAGGCGAACACCGGTGGGGGATTAGTATACTATGAAAAAGCGGTTGTTATAAAATGACACTTAAGGGGAATCCGCTGAATCTGCGCTCTGCCGACCTCCTGAACAGCTTCGAACGATCTTTTGTCGCAGTTATCAAGTCGTCTTGGCAGTGGCAGTGAGCCAAGTTGTTTGACGAAGCAGAATGTTGGCCAGCCATGTCCTGGTTGCAAATAGAACTTCCACCAATCTGCGAACTTGTCCTGCTCAAGAACTTGAGGCATCACGTATAGGCCTGCAAGCGCAATCATCTTCTTGAACATACATAGAGTTTTTCTCAGCCAATGTCCTTTCCCAGCAACATTGCCATTCCATGCCATTCCTATATGTGAGTGAGTTGGCAAGCGACCATCATTACCTTGAGCAAGATCAGAAGCACATTCGACTTAACATGCACTACAATTTGTACAGCGTTCGAATTCCTTGAGCCGCCTGAACGACCACTATAGCCAATGGGTTGAAGTGGCTCAACCACAGTGAGCATATCTTCGCGATGTTGTCGCTCCATAATCAACAGCCAGCTTTCTAGGTCAGCATCCCACACACCTGCAAGGACAAAAAGTCAATTCGTCAACTAAGATGAACACTGAGACCAATCGGAAACGACGATATAAAGACTACCCAAATACCCTTATGTGGTTACACATGGCTTCACAAACAGTGGCAACCTACAAGCTGTGCCAAGCACTGTGCCAAGCTATATGAGCTTAAGATCTACCCAAGCGGTGCTGCACAGCAACACATCAAACGGTGCAATTGGTCTCCCTGCCTTCCCGCATGGTCTCAAGTCTCCTGCGATACTCTTCGCTGTTCGCCATCTCCCTCAAAAGAGATGCACACATTTCGCCAACAAAAGCCACAACCGTGCTTGGGATGCAAGGTTGTAAACCTGTACACCTGTAATGAGTCAGACTCTTACCCTTACCAGACTTCCGCTACTCTTCAGCACCTCCAGCTTCAACAGCTAAATCCTCCGCCTGAACTGAAACGATCTGAAACCAGCTCGGTCGTGCCCAGGCGCTTGAGGCGCACCAGCTCCACGTTGTAGCCCAACCATTCCTTCAGAATGAATGCAGCCACATAGGTCACCAACTCATGTGAGCTCCAATCCTTCCATCGGGCCCCTTTCGAAACTGACGCACTGCTCATCAAAAGGCACCAAAAAAGGATGATCATTCGATGTCATTTGATCAAGCAGTGGACAAACGACTCTCTCTCTCTCTCTGTCATTTGCCGTTTGGCCGCCTCAATTACAATGAACATGTGCAAAAACGATCTACCAATCGCTCAAACGCCCCTGTTCGGAGTTGTTTTGCACTGCGTAAAGTCTCCTAAGGCCATGCCGTGCCTGGTGGAGCAAAGAAATTGTAGTATCAGATCGGTCCTGAGCATGATAGGCTTAGGGAGGAATATTCCCATGCATTGTAATTATTTGTAATTTGTAATCATGGTTATTTACATTGCGCCGTCCGCCCAGGTGAAGCCAGGCTACAATGGAGCCCGCTTCTCCTTCAAAGAAGCACCTCAGTTGCAAGCAAGCAGGCTCCGGCCCTTTTGAAGTAAGAGGGAGCTCACCAAACACCGAAACTGAGCAAAGTGCTGGGCTTCGAAAGGCACTCTTTGCTGCGCATCGGCGGACAGCACCCGCCAGAAGCAGGCTCCTCATTGTGCGAGGTCAAAACAGTTGGGCGATGACAATTGGTCCTAAACTGGGAACACAAGGAAAAAGTGTGTCAACAAAGCTGAAGCCATGTTCAGTGTCTTCAGCTACAGCCTCACAGGGCCTAACAGCAAGACGATGCAAGACCGGATTTCCCGCCTAACAAAAGAGCCGTCAGGAGCTTCATCCATGAAATCGCACAGAATGTGAAACGTTTGGTCTCTATTTTTAAGTTAGCTATATTGATATGATGTTCTTGTTGTGCGAACTGTGTGGAATTGGAGTGGGGGGCCAACCATCGGCGTTGATGCTTCTGGGGCTCGGAGATGATGAAACCGCCGCCCAACTTGAGATTAGGATAAGCTCAAATCTGCATTTGTCTGAATGGAGCCGGGCCAAAAATGACGAAAGCCGCACACATCACGAGGGCATCCTCCAATGACCATGCACAAGGCACTATCGTGCAAAAACAAGGGTATCGGTTGATCCTACATATTGGCCGCCAGGTTTCGCCATCCACATCTGACCGTGAGATTATACACTCAGCTCTGAGATATCATTGAACCAGTTGAAGCAGCGACCAAACAGAAACAACAAAACGGCAAAACACAACAACTGTCCGGATAGATACAGTACCCCAAAGAACCACGCCTGGTCAGACAGTGACTGGGTAAACTTTCGTGAGGGTCGGCAAAGCATTCCGATGAACCTAATATCGCCACGGCTTCCATCTTGTGACAGAGACGCTGCTCAACACTTGAGATCACAACTTTCATTGCCGACATCCTCCCACTGAGAACCCTTTGATATCGTTTGATCCGTTTGATCCCCCAATATCCCACCATTCAAACCATGGATCGGTTCTGTCACTAGTCACTTTTAAAGCAGAAGCTTGTTGGCCAAGATGATACAAAACCAGAAAGTCCCAACTCTTGAACTTCACGGAGCGACGTCAAAGACATGTGGGAGTGTATTAAGGGAGACCTCCCAAAGACCCCCTTTTCCTGTAGACCAAGAGCCTATTTTAATATACGCCCATATGGATCGACCATGATGAATCTAGCTTCGAGCTCTGCCAAGCTCCCAGCGCTTGGGTGGGATAGTCTTGCACCTTGGTTGAGCGAGATGCTTGGAGGTGTTCCACTGGAAGATGCCAATCGCAGTCGTGACCCACCGATACTCATCGTGTGACTCACCAAAAGACTTTGGCAGTGCCGGTCCGGTGCCGATCCGGTGATGGTCCGATCCGGTCCGATCCGGTCCGTGGACCGCCGAGCTCCAGGCCCATGCATAGGTCTGATTGAGCGGCAGCCAACACCTCTTGAGCCGGCCACAGGATGGAGTGGCTAGGGCAAACCTTCTTGATTTATCTTGATTTGAGGTCTAAGCGGGTCCTACCGGCTGAGTGTGTCCCGAACGCCCCAAGCATCTGAAAAGTGGAGTCAAGGCAAATCTGCCTACACACTTGGCACTTCCAGGATCGTTCTCAAAACTGGTTGGGGCACCAGCTTCGGAGAATCGAATGCATACAACGGTGGCTGGTCAAAGGTCAAATGGGACACTTAGCGCAAACCATGAAAATCGTACGAAATCATTATCCGTGTGATTTATTGGATTATATAAGTGATCAGGTCCCACGTGCGAGGCCTTCTCTGTGCCTGTTCAGGCGGGCTTGGAGAGGCTTTCTCCCGTAAACTTGAAAAACTGATGGACCTTTGAAGGCTGATGGACCTCATCCGGGCTCGGGCCCCACCGTAAGGACGATACTTAATTCCAATGATCCACTACAAGAGGATAGCCGATGTGGAGGTCTGACATTGGGTCAGAAACATGATTGACAAACCCAGACTTGTATTGCTGTTTTTTTTGGAGAAGTTGAAAACCATTCAGACCAAAGCCCAGTTCCGTGCGTTGACACCACCGTCTTCAAAACAAAGCCCAGGAAACACCCGAGCCAGCCTGCCCTGTCACCCACAGCGCAAATTGAAACAGAAATGCTGGGACTAAAGCCGAGTGCTTGTATTGTAGGTGCCGGGACACATCCTGGGCAAAATGACTGCCCAAATGGCTTTGCAACCTGAACTTATCAACATGGATTGCCTTGCTAATGCAGAATCGCCCCCAAAAAAGAACATAATAAGTAACAGCATACAACAGGACACAATCAGCACGCCGGCGGATTGTGCATGGTAATTAACTGCTTCCAGTATCGTTGCTACTCGTTGTTCAAAGGTCTTGGAAGTCGGCTTGCGAAGTGATCTTTTAAGCACGCTGCCCCACGCAAACAGGGTTGGCCATGTCCAACCTGCCGAGAATCACGGCACAGCTTCAAGAATGCTGAAACAGCCACAGCGTCCGTCTAATTATCTATATATGTAGACTCGTGGAATGTGTTTAAAATTTAGTCTTGGGAACGTCCACTAGTTGAACATGAATGCTTTGTAACATTGCGTGTGAAGTATACGTATATGATAATGATAATGATAAAATATCCTATTGTTGTTAGTTGGCGTATGAAGTGCATCAGCTATGGAACGCCATTGTCTGCAGCCCAGACCTCTTGTCGTTGCCCTGGAAGACCCACTGGCTGCTCTGTTGCATGCAAAAGTAGAGAAAAGGCTTGTCCTGCAATCAAGATGTTCAACTTTATTTAAAAGCCAAACAATGCTATGGCCGACTGCCAACAAGGCCAGCAAGCAGGTGCAAATACTTATACATCAAGCCAACCCAATCCACATTGAACTGCATATTCAGGCGCAGTGTAACATATGCAGCAAGAGTTCAAACCAAGGCTATGTGGGCTATGTGCTGTGAAGTGGCTGGCACAGCCTAGCATAAATTTAAATGCATCTTTTGTGTTGCCCGTTCACTTCTAGGTGATGGAGCTCCAAGAAACAGCCTGCGAAAGTAACACATTGTCAATCATGTTGTATAACACCCGGAGACTTGACCCAGAAAAAGGAAGTTTCCTCACACAGCAAGCTCTCCCTCTCTCTCTCTCTCTCTCCTCCTGTAGCATAGTCAACTGTATACGAACTAAACGCTTCAGAATGCTTCGAAAACTCTTTGACAATATCAAGCAGCTTGCGCCCCAACATAGCTCAGCATAATCATGCAAACTTCAAAAACAAAGAACGGCGGCCCATGGCGGCCCCATGTCCCGATTGACCCCATGGCCACAAAGATTGCCATTGAGATCTGGGAGGCTCCTGAATGGCAATGGGCAATGTCTCTCTCTCTCTCTCTTGGAATGAAGTCGGCCCTTACTGTAAATACGCGTGGAAGAACAATGGTCTAAGGTCTCCCCGTGCTTTGTCCAACCTAGCCAAAAATTCCCTAGAGCAAATTACGCCAGCATAGACCCCAAATAAGATAGCAACCAGATTTGTGGGCAGCACCCTGCAGCCGCACTCCGCAGCTGCAGCGGCGCCAGCACCCAAGCGCACACAGCAGCGGCACCAGCATCCAAGCTCGAACCAAAAAAAACAATAGCTCACTTTATCTGGAGAAAACGTTGGGATCTAGGAACAGTGTTGAAGGTCTTGCTTTTGCACCTCGCACCATCACAATAGGTCTGGGCAACCGGCACAAGGTCGTGGAGGTTTCCATTTTTGATAGCCTCAAACTTGGACAAATTTGCAAGGCCATGTCCACCCAATTAATCGCGATATCCTGGGACTCCAAGCAAAAATATTGAACATAATAGTAAGTATATACTGCAATGTGAACATGATAGAACACTGTTACACACACATATATATAATATATAATACATATAATATATATATATAATATAATACAGCAACCGTCCTTAAGTATACATAGAACACGGAACCGAGCTGCCAAAAGTACATTCCGTTCTAAGTACCCTGCTGTGACCAAAGGACATAAAGTACTTTGAACATCCCCAAGCGGAGCATTTTGGGTACTTGGAATATCTTGGAATATGCAAGGGGGTGTCGATAACACAATTCGGGATATATATATATAGTTAAAATTGTTGTATAAGGTTGTCAAGTGGCCAATCAGAACATGCTTCCCACTTGGCCGCCAGCATCATTCCAAATGAAGACCGTAAGTCCAAGGCAAATGATAAAGGGTATGATCCAAAACACATCGGTGCACCTGGCACGCGTGTTGCGTCGCGCTGGGCGTGGGCTGCACGGGGGACCCAGACACCCAGCGGCCCAATGGCTCCGTTTCGTCGAGGTGTCCCTGCTCCGTCGAGTTTGGGCGCCTTGGGCGACCCAAGCGTCTTGCAGTTTTGCAAGAGTGGCTTGCTTTTTCAAGCAAATGGCTAACTGGGCCATTTCCATTTGGAGATGCGTGATGCATGGCCTGTGTTGCAGACAGCGCTGAGTCAAAGGTTGGAAGTATATAAATACATAAATATTGGTCATTCTATGTCATTGTCGGTGCAAACCTCTGCCAAACAGGAACCACACAGCGTGCCGCTGTAAATCAAGGTCATTATCATTAGCCGCGGTCCGAGTATAGACCTGCTATAGGCGGGCAACTGTTGTCAGAAAGGTGGCAACCTTAGCCAGTGCATTGCCTTTCCTATGCAATTGGGCATCTTTTGATCTACTTAAAAGCTGACTCAAGAAGAAAGCTTTTGGGCCAAGGGGCAAAGCACAAGCATGCACTAAAATGATACCAGTACACGAATTCTTGACTCAACAAATGTGGGCACATGTCAACAACATATTGGATTGGTTGTTAAAGTCATCTGCAGCCAACTCGTGCTCTACGGGGATAAACTCTCCTCGTTCTGTGGCAAGCGACATCATTGGCCCGCAAGGACATCATCTGACTTGCCATCACCTTTGTAACTGACACGCGGGTCAACCAACATGATTATATACATATATATATATATTTATTTATAGTAGTTTTTTGTATGTTTTTGTGGTTTATTATGCCCACTGCAACACAATCCTGGAGTGTTTTAGAAGCAGCAGGAGACGCACAAGAATAAGGACAAGGAGAGCGAGAGGGAGAGGGGGAGGGAGACGGAGTGGGGGGAGATGGAAAGATATGGGAAAGGGAAAGTGGGAAGAGTAGGAGAGAGAGGAAGGGAATGGAAGGGAGGGAGGCAAAGAGCAAAAAGGGGAGAGACAAAATTCAATTCTTGAGGGTTTATCTTTGGGGTTTGGTTTCGGGTGTCACTTCTCAAAGGCTTCTTTGGGGTTGGCCCAAAGATGCCCAGAGTGTCAATTCTTAA